TATTTTACAACTGCTTATGTCACGCAATGTGTGAATCTCATCATTTGAGCATAAATAGAAAAGGTCTTTGTGGCTTTAAAAATAGGCCCCGAAGAACTTTTCTTTGGATATTAATTAAAGATGTCCTCTTGTTTAACATGTCTAGATAATTTTTAACAACTTAAAGTGTACTGGATGGGCTCTGGCAACTTGGTCAGATTAATTATTAGCATTACCTAGAGACCAAAAGGGAAAACATTCAGGGCTCAGGTTAAATTCCGTGTCAGAGCAAGACAGAAATACATTCTTGTATCTGGCCCAGCAGGCCTGGAGATTCTCAGTTGACTATTTCCAGGCAAGGTGAAGTATCTCATCTGTGAAAACAGTGCTTACCTGCAGGCTCTTGACGACGGCCAAGTGAAGGAAACTGCAGGATGTTAACTTCTCTCCGTGACACAGGGGAACCCTGAAGAAGCACACCTGCTCATCTAATTGCGTCTCCTGCAACACTGGCAACGGTCCACAAGGAACACGAAGTTCTGTTTTCATGCTTGTGCTGTATGTGTATTGATAAATTATGCATGTTCTTCGTGTGTGTGCGTGCTTAAACTTGGCCTATGAGTTTCTTAGGTACTTACCCTGACAATTAATTTTATTCTTTAAATAAAATTTTGCTTTAAGATCAATATTAAAATAAATGATACAATTCTGTTCTATTGTGTAGGTGTTATATAGAATTCTATTTTATGAAGTATTATAATATAACTAGAGGCCCAATGCATGAAATTCATGTAAAGGCCTCGGCCCTCGCAGCCCCGGCTTTGTCCAGAGGGTCCTCCAGAAAGTTGTTTGGCTATCAGGTCTAATTAGCATATTATGCTTTTATTATTATACTAGTGGCCCAGTGCACAAAATTCGTGCACAGGGGGTGGTGTCCCTCAGCCCGGCCTGCACCCTCTCCAATCTGGGATCCCTCGGGGGGTGGCTGACCCTGTAGGATCGGGCCTAAACCAAGAGTTGGACATCCCTCTCTCAATCTGGGACTTCTGGCTCCTAACTACTCACCTGCCTGCCTGCCTGCCTGATCCCCCCTAACCACTTTGCCTGCCTGCCTGCTTGCTCCCAACTGTCCCCCCTGCCAGCCTGATCACCCCCAACTGCCCTCCCTTCCTGACCTGATCACCCTAACTGCCTCTGCCTTTGCCCCACCACCATGCTTTGTCTGGAAGGATGTCCAGAAGGTCTCCTGGTCTAATTAGCATATTATGCTTTTATTATTATAGAAGATGACATTTTCTGCTATTAGTGGACAAGCACTTTTTTTGAAGTTTATTTCTACAAACAGTATCACACATCTACTGGAATAAATATTTAACAGATTCCTTAGAAAATAAACTTAAAAGAAAAATTGCAATATATGTAAATATTTTAAAGGTTAGTAGATATTGCCAATTTACACTCCAATGTCTTTCTTTCTCAGTAGCAGTTACAGACTTCCTCAAATGCGTGACATTGGATAGGGAATCCAGTTTAATGTTCAAACTAGTCAAATTGATACCAAGAATACATGGATTTTTATTGATTTAATAGATAATTTTTAAATTTATCTTTGAGTAGAATGTTTAATCTAGTTTTTGGAAGCTTAAGCTATATTTTAAAATCTAGATCTTCCTTTTTACTTCAATACTATTTTTTTACCAAGAATCAGCATAGATATCATTAGGATTCTTCTTCAATATCTAATTTGATAATTATAGTGACTTAGACATTTAGTTCTATAACATTTAACTGACAAACAATGCTGAAATATCTTTGTATTAATTTACTAAATCCTATGTAGTCATACTTTATTATTTTCTCATGTACTATAGAATTTGAATGGTTTACATTTTATATACAAATCTTGCAACTATTTCCATTAGTCAGATTTTTCTCTTTTATTTTTTCTTCTGTTGTCCCTAACTAGCTTCATGTTTATAATAGCACTATAAAGTAATTTTATTTAATATGTTTACTTGTTATATTATCTTAATATATTTAAGTGAGAGAATTACCTATTATTAAAGGAATTATTAAAATGTGTAGATAAAACTGCCAGACCTAATACATTTATTGCAAGTACCAGGATCAGTATGTGAGGGGAAGTAGGGGTTCTGTCTTCAAATTGAATTTCTTAAATAGTTTTTCACTATTAAATTTTCTCTTTTTGACTATTAATACTCTTCCCCAATTTGTTTGACAATTTTTGCTCACATTTATATTTCCTTTTTTCCCTTGTTTCTTCTATAACTGCTATAGCTGTGCAATCACATTCAATATACAGGACTTTTAATTTTATTTAATTATTTACATTTTTAATTATGACTTCTGTTACTCAAGATTTATTTTAGACTATATATGCTTAGCTTCTAAATTTATAGTTTTACTATACTTTTATTGTACTTGCCTGTTTTTCTATTTAACATTTTTACCCTCAGGAAATATAATTTGTATAACAATTATTTTTCCTTGCCTTCTCCCAAAATAGTTTCAAGACTGCACTAGCTTTATATTTGTTACAATCTTAATAAGTTCAAACAATAATTGCTTGTTACATAAATTTTTTTAAATATTATCTTTATTGTTGAAAGCATTACAGATGTCCCTTCCCCCATTAACCCCCATTCACTACACCTGCCCCCTCCTAGGCCTTCACCATCCTATTGTCTGAGTCCATGGGTTATGCATATATGCATACAAGTTCTTTGATTAATCTCTTCTTGCCCCCCCTACCCACTTCCCACAGAGAATCATTAGTCTGTTGCATGTTTCCATATCTCTGGACTTATTTTGTTTGTCCATTTATTTTGTTCATTAGATTCTGCATAGAAGTGAGATCATGTTATTTGTCTTTCTCTTACTGGCTTATTTAGCTTAGCACAATACTCTCCAGATTCCTCCAAAAGGTAAGAGATCCTTCTATTTCTTTTTTTAAAGAGTCAGTTACTCAGCACAAGCCAACTCTTTTTTTTAAAGCTTTACTATTTTTTATATTAATTTAAGAAGAAGAAGACAGAAGAGAAGAGAGATAGAAACATCAATGATGAAAAGAGAATCATTGAACTGCTGCCTCCTGCATACCCCATACTGGGGATTGAGCTGGTAACCCAGGCATATGCTCTGACTAGGAATCAAACAGAGACCTCCTGGTCTATGGTTCAATGCTCAACCACCGAGTTACACCAACTGGGGGAGAGCTTTCTTTTTTACACCTGCATAGTATTCCACTGTGTAAATATACCACAGCTTTTTTATCCACTCATCAACTGATGGGTACTGGGCTGTTTTCAGATCTTAGCTAGCCTATCTATAAAGAGGGAATAGACCTCCTGGTCCATGGTTCAATGCTCAACCACCGAGTTACACCAACTGGGGGAGATCTTTCTTTTTTCCACCTGCATAGTATTCTGCTGTATAAATATACCACAGCTTTTTTATCCACTCATCAACTGATGGGTACTTGGACTGTTTTCAGATCTTAGCTAGCCTATCTATAAAGAAGAAATATGCTAATCGACCCTCATACATTGCAAAGATGGTGGCACCCACAGCCAATAAGGAGGGAATATGCTAATTGACTGCCACACCCTCAAAAATGGCAGCACCCACAGCCACAATATGGCAGCGCCCAGTCCCCTCAGCCCCGCCAGGGTGTCAGGAGTGTGGCAAGGCTGGACCCACCCCACATGCCTGCCTCTGGAATCCCCCAGTTCCCTCAGCCCCCCAGCCACCCAGGGCCACCTGAGGCTCAGGTAACTAAGGCAGGTCGAGGCTTGCACTGCCAGCAGTGGCAGCACCAGAGGTGTGAAGTGGGCATCGCCTTCCCCTGATTGCTGGGTCACCTCCCGCCCCTGAGGGCTCCCAGACTGTGAGATGGGATGGCAGCACCCACGTCACAATATGGCAGAGCCCAGTCCCCTTAGCCCCGCCAGGGTGTCAGGAGCATGGCAAGGCTGGGCCCACCCCACATGCCTGCCTCCGGAATCCCCCAGTTCCCTCAGCCCCCCAGCCACCCAGGGCCACCTGAGGCTCAGGTAACTAAGGCAGGTCGAGGCTTGCACTGCCAGCAGTGGCAGCACCAGAGGTGGGAAGGGAGAGGCTCAGGTAACTAAGGCCAGTCGAGGCTTGCGCTGCCAGCTGTGGCAGCACCAGAGGTGTGAAGGGGGCATCGCCTTCCCCTGATTGCCAGGTCACCTCCTGCCCCTGAGGGCTCCCAGACTGTGAGAGAGAGCAGACCAGGCTGAGGGACCCCCTTCCAATGCATGAATTTTCATGCACTGGGCTTCGAGTTGTAAATAACACTGCTATGAACATCGGGGTGCATATATCCTTTCTGACTGGTGTTTCAGGATTCTTAGGATATATTCCTAGAAGTGGGATCACTGGGTTAAATGGCAATTCCTTTTTTAATTTTTTGAGGAAACTCCATGCTTTTTTTCATAATGGTTGTACCAGTCTGCATTCCCACCAGTAGTGTACTAGGGTTCCTTTTTCTCCACATACTGGCCAGCAATTATTGTTTGTTGATGTATTGATGTTAGTCATTCTGGCAAGTGTGAAGTGGTACCTCAGAGTTGTTTTAATTTGCAACTCTCTGATGATTAGTGACGAACATTTTTTCATGTCTCTTGGCCATTTGTATATCCTCTTTGAGAAATGTCTATTTAATTCCTCTGCCCATTTTTTAATTGGATTGTTTGTCTTCCTTTTGTTTAATTGTATGAGTATTTCATATATTTTGGAAATTAACCCCTTGTCAGATGTATCATTTGCTAATATGTTCTCCCATACAGTGGGTTCCTTTTTCATTTTGATGCTAGTTTCTTTTGCTATGCAGAAGCTTTTTATTTTGATGTAATCCCATTTATTTTCTCTTTTATTTCTTTTACCCTAGGGCAGTGGTCGGCAAACTCATTAGTCAACAGAGCCAAATATCAACAGTACAACGATTGAAATTTCTTTTGAGCGCCAAATCTTTTAAAGGATTCCTCTAATATTTTTATGGTTTCCCGACTTATGCTTAAGTCCTTTATCCATTTTGAGTTTATTTTTATGTAGAGCATAAGTTGGTGGTCTAGTGTCATTTTTTTGCATGTACCTGTCCAATTTTCCCAACATCATTTATTGAAGAGACTGTCTCTGCTCCAAAGTATGCTCTTGCCCCCTTTGTCAAATATTAATTGATCATAGTGGCTTGGGTCAATTTCTGTTCCATTGATCTATATGCCTGTTCTTGTGCCAGTATCAGGCTGTTTTGAGCACAGGATTTCATATATTTTGGAAATTAACCCCTTGTCAGATGTATCATTTGCTAATATGTTCTCCCATACAGTGGGTTCCTTTTTCATTTTGATGCTAGTTTCTTTTGCTACACAAAAGCTTTTAAATGCAGTCTAATTTATTTATTTTTCCTTTTTTTTCTCTTGCCCGAGGAGTTGTATAAGTAAAAATTCTGCCACATGAGATGCCTGATGTTTTGCTGCCTGTGTTTTCTAAGATTTTTATAGTTTCACAGCTTACATTTAGATCTCTTATCCATTTTGAGTTTATTCTTATGTAGAGTGTAAGTTGGTGGTCTAGTGTCATTTTTTTGCATGTACCTGTCCAATTTTCCCAACACCATTTATTGAAGAGACTGTCTCTGCTCCAAAGTATGCTCTTGCCCC